GACAGAATTCTTGACCACAAAGGTGTCACTGTCTTCAGCCTTGAAATGTCAACATTGAACCTTAGGCAAGGTATCAATAGAAAAAGAACATTTCATACCTTCGTCACGCAGCAAGAACTGTTGGCCTTTCCATCTCATCGGCCGAGGTGGGTTTCTCCATTCCCCGCATCCGCGGGGAAGCTTCTCCTCACCTCCAACACGAAAATCTCACCAAACCATGCATGTGCCGCCGTGCCGCCCCAGCGTCGCTATCTGGTGGAGTGGGTTTTGGTGGTTTTCGCGAATCAACGGCTCGCTGTAAGAGTGCGACGATCGGCCCTGCTTGATGCAATCATGCAGGTTTAGCCAAACAAGTCACACACGATGACCGAGAACCGGAGTAGCAGGGAGATACGGGAGGTTGGGAGGATTCGCCTAAGACAACGCCCTGTCCCTCGCTTTATCTGGCGTCGGGTGGAATTGGGATCTGCAAAGCCAACCACCGAATCTTACTATGACTACTCATTGAGAAGTCATCTATGGAATCGTCAAGTGTGAGAGGAAGGATAGGACATTCTCACTTGAACACAAAAAGGCGCATCCTCAGACTCCCGCGAATTCATTGCTGCTTAGCTCGATGAATTGATAAACCGCTGTTTGGGTCACGCGCTGAAGACCAGACACCATTCGGGTCTCAATTGATGCATGCTCAGGCGAAATTGCTCGAGGTCTCAGCCACAGACCTTTCAAAGCCGAAGAACTCCGGCATTTCCACCATTGCGATATCTCATTCCACGCTTACGTCCGCGTAGAATAGCCGTCGTTCGTGATCTTGAACCCGCTGAACCCCTTCGCCAACTGAATCTAGTTTGGTACTGTCTCATGAGCCGCCTCTTCGCGAACGGGCAAACACGTGGCTTGGGCCGACCCGAAGCCCCGGACAGATTTGATAGGCTGCAAAACGACTGATCTGCTATGTTGTTGCTGATTGAATCCGGTCTCATCGTGTTGCGTTCCTGGGCACCTTCGGCTGTAGCCAAGATGGATCGCGGGGTCTAAGACAACATGCCGTTTCCGGTGCTTCAAAGACACTTCTGTAGAAACGGACCCTTCAGATATGAGCCCATTTCACATGCTAACATCTGAGATTCTGTTCCATCTCAGCCCTAGAGAACTGCGAGCTGAACCTGATCATTGATATAATGGCCTGGTGGGTGGCCCTCTCTTTTCTCCTGCTTGTCGTCTGCTCTTCGTCAACATCAAGTCTGCTCCTACAAGAACAAGAAACTAATTAAAATGTCGACAGAATACGTCAAATGTGCACACAGAACCATCCCAGAGGATGGAAACTTTGCGAACAGGAAAAGGCTGGTGATCTGCTGCGATGGCACATGGAACAACTCGTAAGTGCGGCAATGAAGAGATTCGATCATCCACGTATGCGTATACTGAGATGCCACTCCAAGCAATAATGGCGGCGTACCCACCAACGTGAGCCGTCTCTCATCTGCAGTCGCACACAAGTGCTGCAGCGGAATGCCTCAAGTAGTCTACTACCACCGCGGTCCCGGAACAGAAGAAGACAAATGGGCTAGCTTTGTGGGAGGCCTGTTCGGCCTGGGTGTCAAACAGGTAAGTGACTCAAATAGACTGATGGCAGTGACAAATGATTAATGTTAAGCGGTACCAGGACATCGTAGATTGCTACCGCTTCATCTGCGATAACTACAATCCGGGTGATGAGATCATAATCGTCGGCTTCTCACGAGGCGCCTTCACGGCTCGGTCGCTCGCAGGCATGGTCTGCACGCTTGGGTTCCTCAACCGCTCTGGACTCAGCAGCCTCGGCCAGATCTACAACGATTACAAGGCCTTCAACGACTGGACGGATCCTCGCATGTTTGACCCGAAGAAGCATCTACTAGGGTTCAACCATGACCAGCTGAAGATGAAGATCGAGAAACAGTACATGACAGAGATTCAGCCGCTCGAAGATAAGTTGGACGCCGACAAAGTCGGAGATTTATCCGAGGAAGAGTTATGGGATGTGGAGAGGGATCTGGTGAAACTCCTCGAACGTTACGACAAGGCCACGAGTCACGAAGCCTTAGAGAAGCAGCTGTATCAGGACAAAAAAGAGTTATTCACGAAGATGACTCAATTCAAACGGACAGATGGGAGCATGAAGTTTCGCTCCATGGCAGAAGCTTATCGCCAGCAGCTGAGCGATGTAAGTGATGCTTCACCGGTCCGAAGTCCTTGAGTTGATGACTGACTTCACAGTACGAACTTTGTTTGACTCGTATGAAAGACAACGGCAGCAATGTCACCTCGCACAAAGCTGTGGAGGGGAAGATCAAGGCAGTTGGTCGGTCCATCCCCACTCCCGACGATTGGTTCAACTCGAGTCTGCGATAGCTAACAGACATGGGAATAGGTGTTTGGGAGACAGTAGGCAGTCTTGGAATTCCCAAGATGCCGTGGTGCAATTGGCACGGCGCCAGCCGCAGTGCTGCAGAGGTAAGATTCGTCCTTGAAGGGGGTCCCGGGACCGTGGTTGTCATCTATGTGCAATGGCTAAACGGCTCTTGACTGCCAGCTCCGATTTGCCAGCTACAACGTCCACCCCAATATCGATCATGCGTTCCACGCCCTTGCTCTGGACGAATTCAGAAGCCCTTTCTCTCCCACGCTTTGGAGATGCAAGGGATCGAACAAGAATACTCAACTCCGCCAGGTCTGGTTTCCTGGGTGTCACAGCAACGTCGGCGGAGGCACTGATTCCCAGCAAATCTCCAAGATTGCCCTTGGATGTATGTTACGCACTCCTGGTGCTGTGCTCTCCGCCAGGGCGAAGATCTCCTACGCCTCACTTGATGAACACAGACTAACTCGGTGTCACTAGGGATGGCGGATCAGCTGACTTCCGTTGGCGTGGAATTCAGCACGTGCGAGATGCAGCGCATCTTCAGTACAATCTCCCACGGAGACACCATTCGGCCTTGGGGTCTCGGTGAGATCACCAGCCCGACATCTTTGGTCACGACAGGTCTTGACCGGGTTTGGAACACGATATCAGCGCCATATTTTGCGTACCACGGTCAATACGCAGAGAGCTCAGCGCGAAACCCCCATTTCTATGAGGATGACGGCCAGAAGAAGCTTCTGACACACACGGAGGAGCTCGTTCATCCCTGTGTAAGGGTTCGGTACCTGTACAACGGTCTCGGGCTTGACGATAAGGCTGAATGGCGCTGCAATGCTCTGACGGGACGCGGATGGGAACTCAAGCTTGATAGAGGCGTGGACCCAAATAAGATTCGCCCAGGACGGGATCCGAAGATCGTGGACAAGTACAGGACCGTCGGCGGATCCGTCACCTCTATCCATCAGCAGTATCCGAAGACCCTGGCTGCGGAAGGCCAGCTCGTCAATACTGAGCAGCCCTCGGAGGTCCATCTATGGCAGTTGAAACATCCGGAAAACACTTACACATGGACTCACCCAGAGGGTAAGGTGCTTGAAGAAGAGCAAATTGGCATGTGGGAACGCATGTTCATCAAAATCAACGACAACCATGTTGACTTGAAGGAGATAAGTGATGAACAAAAGATGCAGAAACAGACGCAAGGTGATCGCCTTAGAGACATGGCGACGAACAACGTGTACCACGCCCTGGGCATGGTTGGCTGGATTGTCAAGACTACTATTGGCGCAGTATTTGTTACGCGGCCGGACAAGCAGTATCCGCTCGGGTACCCGTTAAAGCATGGGTACTACGACTTCGTGTCCTGGCAAAAGGGGCTCAAGCAGGATGATTCGAAGGTTGGCCCCTCAGCCAAGGACTCGGCCAAGGATGCACGTGCTTCTAAAGATGGTGATGTCCATGTTCATTACCACTGGCTGAATGATGGTACGCAATGAGAGGGCGCAACTTGACCTTGAAGTGGATACTTTGTATGGATATTTGGCGACATACTTTCATTCGTCTTTTGGGACTTTGCTGTTTTTAATGTCAAAAGGTTCTGGCTATCTTTTACACCACTGTCAATGAATAGTAACGTAAAGGACAATCTCTTCATTGAGTTCGGAAAAAAGGAGCAACTAGATTAATACATCAAGCTCGTGTACAAACTCTCTCTTTCGTGTCGCAACTCCCTATGGCCTAGGAAGGGAAATCGATCTTCCTGCAAAATGGGTTACGAGTGATTCAGAGATCAGCACCACAAATCTAGCAAATATTTTTTTCCACGTTGATCAAACAGCACGAAGGACCCAATCTAGGTAGATTCCTGCGTTTCGCGATGGAGAGGATGAGCCGGAAGATCTTTTACGTATTCTACGGCAATCTCAGTCAACTCGATCGATAGGTGATGGTTCCTCAACGAGAGAAAGACGATCACTCGGTATTATGTATTACCGTCCCACGGCTCAAGGAGTTATTGATTTCCATACCCTAATTACAAATGTCGGTACACTCGAGCAAAGGTGGGCGACTCGCCTACTCAGTTCCACCTTGGAAATATAAACCTTCGTCCTGTGCTGTCCATGTTGCAGCTTGCCTCGACCGCTTGGTTTGGAAGGTGTCAATTCCAGCCGCAGGCAGCAGTCAAGTGGGCCAATAAACCGTGTCTACCGCCCAAGTCCCCGGCCGAAGGATTGCCATGCAGACGTCTAGTTCATCTCGTATAGAGTATTGACCAAACGTTATCACCCTGATGGTAGCATGCTGAATGCCTTGCAGGAACGCTATGTAGTTGTTAGCCTATCAAGGATCGAGATCGTAGCATGATCTTCAGGGACCCCGAGATGATGCCGACTGGAGGAACGGGCCGTAATACGTACAGCTCTCTCGAAGTCCCGGTAATTCAAGACTTACATAGTTCTAAAAACCGGAGCTTCATCACATGGTCTTCTTGGGAGGTAATTTGCATTATGCATAAGAATTCGTTCTTGCCCACCCCTATTGGCCTGCGAAACCATTGCGTGGAGAGATTCTAGTATCCCAAACAACAACCAAGATGCTCTCCCTCACAAGCACAGTCGCGCTCTGCGCCGCTATGATCGGCGCAACTATGGCTGTAACCTCCATCTCAGACACCCAAATGACAACTCTTCTAACTGAAGGCGGTGTTGGACTCGCCATGGCCGCTCAGCCAATGTGGTTCTTCGGACAAGCGATGAACCGACCTCCCTGTATTCCAACGCATGCAGTCGTCAACCGACAGCAAACGCCTGGCGCGGAGCTTTGCGAATGGCCTGACGCCGGTTGTAATTGCCGAAAACCGGGCGTCGAAATCGGGAACCTGGCGCCTGATTTTCCAGTCTATTACAGCTACAGCAAGTGTAATGACAACGAGGTACGGGTGGCGTATAATCTGTTTTATGAGAAGGATGGGTTCACGCCATCTGGCGTCTTTGGACATAAATAGTACGTTCCACCCTGGCCCATTGTCTTCAATACCAGATATGACTGGCTGATCACTCAATCAACAGTGACTGGGAGAGGGTAATTGTCGTATGGACGAAAAATTCCGCAAGCAACTGGCAGCCGTCGCAGCTCTTACTCTCCCAACACTCAGGTTACGACCGCAAGAACTGGGTCGACATCCAAAACACCTTCAACACCGTCGACGCAACACTCCCTCGCGGTGGTGACAACGGCAGAAAGAATCTTGACCATCCAAAGGTATACGTCGCCTGGTCTAAACATGCCATCTACCACGATAGGAACACGGGTTGGAACGATGTGCTTTCCCAGTTGACGAATAATGCCTTTCGTTCGCAGGATTGGTGGTATTATCATGCGAGCAGTACGTACATTTGTGCTAGTCTCTGGGACTGTTTGTGTTGCATACCGTGATGACAGAGACTGACCTGTTGCAGGCTCGTACATCCGCGCAGACGGCTCGACTGAGATTGGAAAGCAGATGGCTGGGATGAATTGGGGATCGGCCACAAGTCATCCGGCCAGTGTGCACGACGGGCTGTGTTCCGCGTGAGTTGTCAGATGGAAACTCCGAGCACGCTCGGGTTTAGCAGTTCGCTACAGCTCCATTCCGCACGTTATCAAGAATAAAGTCAGCTCGTGCTAAAGCAAGGCCGGATTCAGAGACGATGAGATTTGGATCCGTCTGTGGAATTGTCTATCTGTGAAGCTTAGCATTAAACTCCTAGTCTTAATTCCGGGGTCAATGTCAGCACGCTGACGCGTATCCCCCGTCTAATCCGCTTAGAGTTCTGCTTTACAACCCGCGGGTTCCAGCCCCGGAAAGTGTCAATAGTATATAAAAATACGGAACACATCACTAATCCTATCGTTTGCACATACCTGTCAGGCCTCCTCATCTCAACCTAAGCACTACCACCTAGAGTCAACGACCCTTGCATCATGGCAACCTCCAAGCCCCAATTCAAGGGCTGGCTTGCAGTTGCTGCAGACGCTGCAGAAGGAAAACTTGAATTCCTCGGCTTTGAACCAAAGCCATGGGAAGAAAATGACGTGGATATCAAGATCACCCACTGCGGTGTATGTGGCTCAGATATCCATATGATGAGCAGTGGCTGGGTAAGTGAGATGGAACAATTCCCCGAGGAGTGGCGACTGCTGGCTAACCATGGTAACTCGCAGGGTCCCGCCCCTTACCCCCTCTGTGTTGGGCACGAGATCATCGGAACGGTTGAACGCATTGGGTCTCAAGTTGAAGGTGACCTGCGTGTCGGCGACCGGGTTGGAGTCGGACCCCAAAGCGACTCATGCCTGGGACGATTTGGGGACTGCGATCGTTGCGCAACGGGCCGTGAGAATTACTGCCAAAAGATGGTCTCGACGTACGCAGCAAAGCACTTTAATGGCGGAAGCGCTATGGGTGGCTATGCCCTTTACCATAGGTGCCCCTCGCATTTCGTTTTCAAGATCCCCGACGGCCTCTCGTCAGCTGTGGCTGCTCCCATGCTTTGTGCAGGGGCTACCGTTTTTTCACCTTTGAAGAAGAACGGATGTGGTCCTGGTAAAACGATCGGTGTGGCAGGTATCGGCGGTCTCGGTCACTTTGCCATACTGTTTGCCAAGGCACTTGGGGCAGATAAGGTTGTCGCTATTTCGCGCCGAGGCGACAAGCGTGAGGATGCCTTTGCCCTAGGAGCAGATGAATTCATTGCGACAGAGGATGCTGGTTGGCAGCAGCAGTACTACCAATCATTGGATTTAATCATATCAACTGTGTCGTCCGTCAAAGTCAGTCATTGCATCGTCCTCCTCGCTGTTCTAAAGGGTGCTAAGTAGATTCCTAGGCTCCAGTCGGTGATTACCTCTCCTTGTTGAATATTGAGGGCAGCCTAATCCAATTGGGATCTCCAGATGATGGTGATTTTGTAATTCCTGGCTATCCACTGATCTTTGGTGGAGTAAAATTTGGTGGGTCATGCATCGGATCTCCTGCTGAAATCCGCGAAATGCTGCTCCTAGCGGAAAAGACCGGACTTAAGCCTTGGATTGAGGAACGGCCAATGAGCGATATCAATCAGACAATCGTCGACATGGTTGCTGGAAAGGCCAAATATCGCTATGTTCTGGTAAATGACCAGTGAGAACAGTACCCAGCCTGACGTATCAGAGGGGCCCAAGTCTCACCTGAGTTCGGGGGTAATGATATCTCCGAGTTAGTTGATGACGCCTTAGATCGAAATGCTTGGTCTCACCTATCTATGGAGTACCCTCCTATTCATTCCCAGCACCGGACTCAATGTAACCACTATGCTAGATACTCCTTGCTTACTACAGAGCAATCAGTAACTGATTTCTGAGTTTTAAGGTGACATCTTAGCTATTGCATCGCCGAGACAATTGAAAGTGTATGCAGCCACTGCTCGTAGAAGACGTGGATTCGTGGTACAATCATCCGATCAGTGCCTGGAACCCTGTTAGCGATGCCGATAGCTAGACGCCAACCGTTAGAAACCATAGACTCGCACTAAATACATGTTCCAGGTCTAGCCTGTTTCTTCAATGGCATTGCCAGCTTACCTTCACTATGGTGCTTGCTGTCTTCAAATACCTCCACAAACTCCGAGATCAGGCAGCTGCAAGATTTAGCGGAAGCTCTGGTTCCGGCTTTGTCGTCGCGTAAGTTGCATTTGGACACGGGCTGATTTGATCATCTACGGATCTAGCTAAGATAGATTTTTATCACGCTGCTGCCCGACTCTCTTTAGAAGTATCCAGATATCAAAACAGGCCTACTCATATGGGTCATGATGAACCTAGTAAAGATCGAGGATCTCGACCCTCGCTTGAATGTTCTCCTAAGAGCTCTTCTAAAGAATGCGGCAGATAGTAGTGTTACGCGCGTATCAGAGCAACCGACTTTGGCACAAAGCAAAAGTTTCGACGATGATGGAAGCGGCATTATTGTCCCCTGTTCTGCACCATATAAGCACGCCAGCCAGCAGCCAACTGATCGGGCCGTAACAATTTACGCACTTCACTGATGTCTCTTACTCTGCCATCGTTAACCGCTATAGACTCGATGCAATATTGGATGCAACAGAGAACTCAAATGATTTCCTCTTCTTGTTACCGTTGCTGTCGGTCCTAGTCCCCTGAACGTTCCAAAGTAATCACAACATGCTACGTACAATTTATACCTAGCCGCACATCAGGCATCGGCCGCGTTCTGTCTCAAGTCAATACACAATATCAGCAGTCTGATTTCTTGCCCCATGCTTCCTGTAACAGCTCTCTCACGGTCTTGGCCTTTATTGAGGGAAAGAGATCGTTGACCAATTGCGGAGGATCGAAATCGAATCCACCCATGGCAAAATCTTGACCATAGATGCCCAATATAGTGATCAGACTTTCTTTTGGGACGTGTTCGTACATTTGCTGATGAGCAGGAAGTTCTGTGACTATGCCATCTTTCAATGCCCTCTCCGAGTCATGGACAACGTTGAATTTTAGATCTTTGATTTCCTCCGCAAGTTGCAGAAACTGGTTCCAAGAGAGCCTGTCGCCTCGAATATATGCGCTCTTTTCCCACTTGGGAAGATGCAGATAAGCCGTGACAAATTGCGCCACGTCGAGGCTGTGGGTAAAGATGGCTAGTGAATCGCCAGAACCCGGAACAGCTGCGGCATTGTTTTCCATATCGATGAAAAGGCCTTCCGGTTTGATGTAGGACTTGACATAAGGCGCAACATAGTAATCGATGAACCACCCGATGCGAAAGGCTGTATACTCCAATGATGTGGCGTCTAGGAGCTCCAGTGCGTCATATTTAGGCTTGGCGAAGAAATACCCCCTGAACCTATGATCAACGGGTCAGCGGATGTGGAGTTCAGTTATTTCGTAGAAAGGACCATCCTAAACTTCATACTCTTCAGGGTAGTCATGCGCCCAGAAAGATGGCACAAAGCGTCTTGTTCTCGATGACTTCTCAGCAGCCCGAATGAGGTTCATTTCAGGGCCTGACCCGTGCAAGGTGACGATTGCCGACACAACTACCTCCACGTCCTTCGCCTCTAAAAGGTTGGAGATAGCGTCGACGTCATCGTAGTCAATTGCGATAACCGGAGCTCCAAGTCCGCCTTGCTCTTTTGTATCCAGCTTGGTCAGAATTAGCGATTGAAGATTGTGTCAGTGTCGAAGTCCCACCGTGCGAGTTAAAATCAAGACATTGAAAGTGCCATCTTCGAGCAAGGCGTCAACAATGGCACGGCCCAACATGCCTCCGCCGCCAGCAACCGCAATAGTCTGCATGATGAATGCAGGTGTTTTGGCCTGTAGATAAGAATGCCGTTGTATAGAGGTACTTTTAATGCAGCCGAAAATCGCAAAGTCATAAGAATAAGGCGTGTGAGAAGTGTGATCAATTCGACACACCAAACATAATAGGACTATATAACAGCTGAAGGAATTACGCCTGACATCAAAGTCCGCAGTTTGAGTTCATAGCGGAGATAGTAGACTCGGCGTCGACCAGTCTCACTCGATTCCTTACGTGATATCCGCATCTATAATAAGATCAAGCTGCGGAAAACTTTTACTCGGACTGCTGGTGGACCCCGAGATGGATCTTTGATGACCGATCACGATCGGGGAACTTGGTGATTTCTAATTCCGGTAGGCGTCGGCCCCGGAAAGTGGGCTAAGTAAGAGCGAGTCTAAGAGACTACGGAACGCGAGAGCTGCGGCACCCAGAACCGTGGAATCCGCGGCCGTGGAACCCGCGGCCGTGGAACTCGAGACCATGCACAGGTTGAAAGCGAATTATTCCAAGTTCGTTTCTTAGATAATCTCTGGTCTCGCTGTCCTCCACTCTCCTAATACAAGTGCGCCATGTCCAAGACATCTTGGCTAAGTAAGAAAGCCATGCCTAAGGCGTATAGGTCCATGGTCGTGTTCGTGACCAAGGCTAGTAATACGTATAGACTGATCTCCGAAGGCGTCTTTTATATTAGAGGAGAGTCCGGCATAACGATAGTATTTAAGTAGCGGGCACGTCCTCTATGATATTATAACTATCAATAAACTACTAAACAAAAGGTATAATAAGACGTAAACTTCTGAATATATAAATGCCATACTAAGGTGGGTTATTATTATTTTAAATATTATAAAACGATTATAATATACGTGTTTTATAGCAGACCGTACGAGTTGGGTATATTGTGGAAAATATTTTGACTCGCGAAAGTCGCACGCCAACCTGCCAGGTGGACTTGGCCACGATTTTCAGGGTCTCCCCATGGTTGACCACGCTCTTTCTCTGCCGTATTAGCTCTTTTCTTGTGTGTTTCCCTTTACAACTGGATGACTCACACCAAATATCAGTTTCGTAGCGCCTCATGCCAGAGACTCATACTCTGGATGATGTTGAACAAAGACGTCGAGGATGGTTCCGTAATGACAGATGATCTCGGACGTTCTTCCAAGCCACCCCCTCATTGTGCTCGATGCCTTCACTGCTTCATACTTTTCGAGTGTTGCGGTCACCAAGCCTTGAAGATCTTCCATGGAATGACTCCCAGTGACTAAAGGTTTCTCCTCAAGTGTCAAGATACCACTCTGCTGAAAGTATTTATGGACAGCCCTAAAAGCTTCTTCCGCAATACATCCGTCATCTGTCTCAATTGTGTTAAGACAACTCAAAGTCTTCGCTGGTCATTGCAAACTTACCTTGCTTCCCGCCCTTGTACCATGATGATATAGCTATGTTCGTGTCCATCTGCACCGCACAGCCTTTGCACTATGAGCTCACACTGTTCAGCTTTTTGTACGCATCAGGTTCGGCCTTTGTGAGAAAAAGGATGACGCGCGACGTTGCGATACGCACGGTCTTCGACTACCGGTTTACATCCAAGACTTAACCAGCAGCGATATGCAAAGGACGTCAAACATCAGCCCATAATGACAAATGTATCTTCGACAATGTCAGAAAGTGATTGGTCTGAATCGGAACTTGATGTGCCGCGTCGAAGTTTTCGGCCAAAAGAACATGCAATGCAAGGCAACTACGATTCAGCTAATTTTGGGCATGATACTGGGAATGGAAATACGCTTCTAGCAGGTACCAATGTCAATGACCCGACATCTCGAGGGACAACTCAGACGCATTATACAATATCGGAAGATGAAACAGGTAAAGGGTTACAAAACAGACTCGCCGCATTAGCCCTCACAACGGGTGCTCCTCGACGTATCGAGCCTTTCAGCCATTTGGGTACTGCGCAACCCGTTCCAACCGCGTCCACAGCGCTAGCTCATAATGAACTCGAGTCCCCAACTTTTCGCCTGACGGGATCTCCAGCGTCAGGGCTCAGGTTACCCAGCGGCCAATACCCATCACAACAGAATCTCCGCAGCCATAGCCCATCGTCCACAGTTCAAAGACAAAGCCAGCCCGAAAGAGCTCGTTGGAATTTTGAAGCAACAGAGGGGACGCAAAGTATGAAACAGAGCCATGGCCATCGCTACAGCCCAGCAGACCTTGCTGAGACTCTAGTCAATACCGGTGAAGCTTGTTCAGAACCAGGCCTTTCCTCGAGACATGAACTTGCTGCGTATGCTGCTACGCCAAACAGCTCAGAATACATTCAGAAGGCTGGCCCTGAGACAGATGCAGTCCCTGATGAAGGAATCTCAGAACTTCTAAGCGTCGAAGAGACATCTTCACTCTATTTCGATGTTCTTCAAAAGATGCAGCAGAGACTTCAGCTGTTAGAAGCAGCGAATGAAGCGCTTCGCCGAATTCCGACGCCACAAGAAGATGTCAGGGTGCAGATTTTCTACTGCCTTGAGAGTGAAGCCACGGACGGAAATATATACCTCTTGGAACCAGAATGGACGGTGAAGGAAAACGACATTCGTCTCAGTGCCCGATTTCTCGTAACGGACCGTGAAAGATACATCGAGAAAGAAAAAGACATCTCATTTGTCGTCTACAAGTGCTAGTCAGAAGAACACCAGAGAAATGCAGTAAAAGAAGCAAGGAAGTCTTCAGGGCCACTACCAAACCCGGAACCGGCCTACCAGGACATACTGCTCACTTCGGAGGAAATGGTGGCGGCCTTGAAAGCGTTTCTCGCGTTGCATTTGCCGTCTGGTCAAGAATTCCCTGAATTCAACACCCATGACAAATTATCAGCGCCCTTTATTTGGTGGTATCATCATCGCAGGTCAAGTAAGATCGAAACCCTACGCCGTCAAGCCGAATTGATCAATGTGCTCGTGAGTCGCATCGAAGAAGCTTACGCAACGTTGCACGACAACATCGACGAGCAACTAAGCAGAGGCTTTGTGTCGAACACCTCCATGGAATATCTTTTCCGGCCTGGGCAAGTCCTGGTCTCATTCACGGATGGCGTCCCTCAAGGTCACGTTGCATTGTCTCTCCCTTATGCCCACAGCGATAGACCTTCTCACGAGTCCACTCTCCCAACATCGAAAGGTCGACAAGATCCCCCAGAAAAGTATTTGTCGCAATGGGCCATAACATCGCAATCAATCTCCTATCGTGGAGACTTCGTTCGGGTGGTACAGAGACTCAAAGTCGAGTTCGAGACGGAGACTGAGAACGGAGAAATTGATATCTCGAGCTTACCTATCATGCCGCTTGAGTATACCCCACTGGCAATGCAGGAGAGGCTAATGCGTCGTGGCCAGACTTTTTGGAAATGTCGTGAGAAAAGACTCATTTCCTACCAATGCACAGGACAAATTTACAGTGTAAGTGGGTTGTTCTCGGATGAGCCGTGAAGTTGAACTCTCCTATCCCCCGAGCAACCCTTTTGGCTAGCCTCTCTAACGTTCTTCAGGGGGGTAGATTCATGATTGACTTCGAGACGTATACAAGCTTTCATCCAGATAATCAGTACACGAATAAGAAAAAGCTCATATCAGAGCCAGGCTTGCCTACAGACGGCAGTGAGCCGCAAGTTCCTGAAATCTATCTCTTTTCAAACCTTGTCCCTAGCTTTGATTTGAGACGCAAGAAATGGGGTATGGCTTCCTGTGGCTTTGCATGTGAAACAACTCTACTGATCGTCTAAATAGTTGATGTTGAGGTCGACCAGATTCGGGACGTGGTCTGGAATGATCAAGCCTTCAACAGTCTGGTGGCTGATGAAGACATGAAGATGCTCATTCTTGCACTTGTCACCAACCAAATCGATGCCAAGCGAGGTACAGACGCTATCGATAACAAAAGAAACGGCCTCATCATGCTGCTTCATGGCTCTCCAGGCACCGGAAAAACATTTACAGCTGAATCTGTCGCTGAAAAAGCTAGGGAGCCTTTGTACTCGGTAACCTGCGGCGACATAGGCACGAATCCTGCCGACGTGGAGAAATATCTCGAGTCCGTCTTCCACCTCGGCAAGATCTGGGACTGCGTCGTGCTCCTCGACGAAGCCGAAGTCTTCCTCGAGCAACGTACGCTGCAAGACCTCCAACGAAACGCACTTGTCTCCGTGTTTTTGCGCGCTCTAGAGTACTACGATGGGATCTTGATTCTCACGACAAACCGTGTGGGTACCTTCGACGAGGCGTTCAAGTCTCGAATTCAGCTAGCGCTCCGGTACCAAAGGTTGGAGGCTTACCAACGCAAGCAAATCTGGAAGAACTTCTTCGAGCGGCTCAGGAGCATTGGAGAGGAGGACAGCATTGACTTTGACGATGTTTCGCTGCACATAGACGAGCTGACCAAGCACCCCATGAACGGACGACAGATCCGGAATACGATCACCACCGCGCGGCAGCTCGCTAAGTTTATGGGGAAGAAGATGGTATTTTCGCATCTGCAACGAACCATTGCAATCACGAACAAGTTTGACGAGTACTTGGCTGACGTTCGGGAAGCTGATGTGGAGGAACATGGTGGAAGAGGCTTGGATGGCAGGTACTCTGACGAGTATTTTGCTCGATCTGATCAGATACGATAGTGCGACTAGCTATTCGAGTAACAATGCGGCAACTGATTGATTCCTTCTACCCTATGATCAGAGAGCTTTTTCGTTTTGGCTTCAGTCGATATTTGAATATTACGGACGCAGCCAGTAGCTGAGAACTGTCTCTGAGATCAATGCTATCTTACTCAGTAGTGGAACTATGTTGTACCCTTCACGGGAGTGTAAATTCCATTGTGGTCCACCTCGAGAGAGACGTTACTCCCCCCGGAGTCCTCAACATCAATGATCTGAAGATTTCCATGCACTCGCTCAGTCGAAACTCCCACGTGGAACCTGATGTATGTCCTCAAT